CCATGGGAACATAAAATCCAATTTAGGAGCTGGATGAAGACACAAACCAGGTATGTCCTCTTTGGGGCATTTCCTGACTCAGTGTGGAGATATCAGGTGACTATGTATGTTGGGCACTTTAAAGAATTCTTTATTCTCTCAAGATTCACACGGGGTTCCCTGATACTCTCTTTAACGTTATTACAAGAACTCTAATCTTTGAACCTGCTAAATCATTCTTCGTCATACCTATGTCTCAAAACAGGTTCCAAATTCACTAGAGTTTTCCAAGAAAAGGAAAAGTTAATTGGGAAAGTACCAAATTATGAAAAGAATATTATACACGATGGGTCTAGCCAAACGGGGGCTTTGGGGTATTCATCTGACTTGTGGCTTTTGAGGAATCCTCTGTTTCATAAAGGACAGAACTGTTTTCGGAGCTGCAATCTGCCTCTACTACGCATGTGAAGAGAAGCTATTTCTGTTCCTGGATTCTGGTTACACATCCACAGCCTGGGAGCTTTGTTCTCAGAATTCACGCTGTCATCAAAAGGACTCAATACAAATACAGCCGTGGGCTGGCCAGTGGCTTCGCTCTGACCACAGCTGCAACCTCCTGTCATGTGAAAAGCTCTGGGTTTTTTTCTGGGCGTGGAATGTGTTTTTCCTGCCTTTCCTTCTCCTGGAATCTTGTCCCTCTTTCCACCCAACCCGGTTTTCCCACATCTCCCTTGCCTGCGGGCTCCTCCACCTGACCTGCATGGCGGGGTGGGCTGGCCCTTGTTGCTTCCACACTTAGAGAAGGCAACCTCCGTGGGGCCCGCTTCTGTGAAAGGGACTGGCACCTGCGCGATGCCCCTAAACAGGATGCATGCCTCTCCGCGAGTGTGGCTAATGGTGCTCACAGCATTCCGCCCCTAGACCCTCGGCTGAGCTTCAAAGGTGGTGCACGGAGAAACTGTGTGTGCGTGATGGTGGAGTATCCATGAATCCCCCGGAACGGCAGGCTAAGCCTGTGTGCACTGTTGTCCACCCACGGTGGTGCCTTTCCATGGCTTCTTTAGTCCTCATGGCCCAAGTAGCAGACCCTAGGTACGGAGAGCAAATTGCTGTCGTGACTGCATTGATGCCCTCCACGTCTCCAGTGGACACTTCACTAGTAACCAAAGTAGTTCTCAGCTAAATGTGGTGCAGCTTCAGAATCCTTCTCAACCCTACAAGTCGACCAGAGTCGGCCTGCAAGCACAAGCCTGTGTGCTCCGCACGCTCTTGCTGAAGAGGTCTATCCACGAGTCCCCTCCAAGGAGTCCGCTCATATTGACAAACCTGTGGAGGTCTCCTCTCCAAGTGGAGTGATTGGTTTCAGCCCTGGCTGCTCACCTTGCTGTTGGGTAGGATCCCAATTGAAGTTTGCCTGGGACATCGGGGAAAGAGGTTTCCAATTAAAGAGGGTGACGAGTGGAAAGGAGTCCTCTTCCTCGGATCATCACCCTCCACGTGTCCCTAGAGCGTCTGCAGCCTCCCAGGACCACAGGCCAGAGTGGGTGTGACCGGAAGAGTGGAGTCGGAAGGCGGGAGCACCCTTCCATCGCCCCATGCGCTGACTCCGGTTCCGCAAGGTGGAGAGCGAGTGACTGAAGCCTGGAGAGTCTCTGGACAGGCCTCTACGTCATCTGGAACCTGTGGGACCCATCCAGAGGAGTCGCCTGCTGCCTGTGTTGTTCCCACCCTGGATCCCACTGCACAGTGCTCCGGGGAGAGGACACCAGGGGGCCCGGATGTCAGGCGGGGGGCATGGAGTGTCACGCCAGCAGAGGACCCCGGTGCTGCTTGCTGGGTACAGACTCCCGAACAGAGAGATGGAAGTGGGTCTCACTTCTCTTGAGAAAGGCCTGGCTCCCTCTGGACCTCTGTCCCAAAACTGTCTTCTGAGTGGGGGGCATGTGTCCCCTGGACTCAGGCCTACCTGCTGCTCTGAGGCTGCCCACCATGGCCAGACGGAGCCGCGGCCTCTGGCCATCCGCTGTCTCCTGAGTTGGGTAGCAAGACCCCACCCAAAGAGGAGCGTCGGCATCTCCAGATGGTGGCCAGGACTCTGACGTGCCCCCCTTCCAGATCCCCACCCCCTGAGGAAGAGCACACTTGTGTTGGGGTGCTTTTGTTCGTGTTTGTGACTCAGTCCTGCGACGGCTGGCGACGGCTCCAGGCCCCTGTGGGTCCTGTGAGTTGCCCTTTAGTTTCAGCCACACCCGGGATTCTGTTTACCTGGCCCTGCAGGATGGGCACAGAGCACACAAGGCTAACTCCCAGGGGAGAGGTGGGCGGTTGCCTGGGGAAAAGGGAGCGGGGGCACCCCAGGGGAGGAGAGTGGCTATGCGAGGTGACCCAGAGCTTCCTTTACCTGGAGGTGTTATTCCTACCCTGAGGGTGGCCAGGCACGGAAGGGCTTGGAGCGGGCGAACACACAGAAGGAAATAAGATGTTGGGAAGGTTCCTCCTCTGCAGCAGGCCAGTGGGGACAGAGGGGCCCCGGACAGGACAGGCGGCGGGTCTGCGTGGCGGGTGTGGGGCTTGGCTGGAGGGTGCCGGCTCTAGGCAGGGGGTTCCCAGGAGGAGTCTCCTCTGCCCCTCCCTCCCCCTCTTTCCTTCCTCTTTCTACCCTCCCTGCCTTGCCCACCCCCTTCCCAGGTAGACGGAAGTCCCAGGTGTGACGAGGGCACTGCTCTCTGGGAGCGAGCTCTGGATGTGGGTGGCCCTAGGAAGGTGTGCTTCCTCGGTGGTCCCGAGGGGAGACCGCGAGCCTCTCTCCAGGGTGGCTGAGAGCCCTGATCAGAGGCTGTGTCGGGAGAGTCACCTGACTGACGGCTTGAAGTGAAGCAGATGGTGCTGTTGGCTCAGCTGAGGTGGCCGGAGGACACGACCTCCCTCCCGGCCTTTCTTTTGGGAAAGGAAGTCTTTGGAAGTTGGTAGCAACTGAATAAATCTTGTCCCTTTGATAAGCAGGGTCCCTGTTCGGCTCCTGTGTGGAGAGAGCGCCACACTTCCTCCGATTGTCTCGCTGATGGAGTTTCAGTGTGTGCGACATGATAACCTGGCTGGGGAGCCCGGGAGGAAGTGCAGGCGGCCCCGCGAACAGCTGCCCTCCAGCCACAGCACAGGCCGCTGGCCGGTTATTCTTGGAAGTTATTTTGATCTTCTGGGCCCGACTCAGCTCAGGTTTCGGTGCCCAGCCTGGGGCCCGGAGGACCGGGCGTTTCATTATAATAATAGACTCCCAGCTCACTGGGCCTAGCGTCCAAGGGCCCGCCCACGTGGCTCAGTGCCCCGTACTCAGTGCCAGCCATGGGGAGGTGCCTGGCCCTGTGTGCCCACTCTCAGGCCTCTCCTGGGGGTCTCTGCCCAGATTGCACGCCCCTCTGGAGGGAGGCCTGCAGGCCGCGGCAGCCCACGAGGAAGGAGGTGTAACTACCTGGTGGCCGCGTGGCAGCTGGGTGGCGTCTTCCAGGCACACAGGGCTTCTCTCTCTCTCTCTTTTTTTTTTTTAGTTGTTAATTGACCTTTATTTTATTTATTTATATCCGGTTCTGAGAATCGAACCCAGTGCCTCACTCATGCCGGGCGAGTGCGCTACCGTGAGCCCCAGCCCCAGCCCCTGGCTTCTCTTTTAACTTTAATGTCTGGAGATGTCACATTAGTTCATTTCTCCCCTTTTGAACGTAAGAACATCAGTCATGTGGGGCAAGGTCCTCAGGGCCTGGTCCCCACTGAACCCACTACCCTGCACCAACTCTTGCTCCCAAGAAGGTCCCATCTGAGTTACTCGGCACTGGGGGACTTTGACTTTGACTTTGGGGGACACAGTTTAACTCGGGGTGGCTGTGAATGCATGGGTTGTAGCAATTTAGAAAAGAGAGACCACAAAACAAGGGGTAAAAGCCAGCGTCCAGCACTCACAGGTCACCCGAGAGCCGTCCTGTCTTCCTAGGAATGCAGGACAACACAAAGTGTGTGTGATTTGGTGACCTGCTTCACTCAGTGGTCTTTCACCACATTCCTTCTCACCTACTGCCTAGTCGATGATCAAACTGTGTGTTCTTCTCAACGGTTTTATTCAAACGGAAACCTGATCCATGGCCGTCCATCTGAACAGGGGGCTGGGTCCCTGGGCTAACCCGTGCTGGCCCCTTTTCACAAGGACTCGTTGGGGTTAGGGTCGGGGGTATGCTTCGGAACAGTTGTGCCGTACAACGTCCCACCTCCTGGGTCTGTCGGGAGGTTGTTTGGCTGCTGTTTTGTTTTACGGGGTTGCCCAGCTGGCCTTGAACTCCCAAGTAGATGGGCCCACACGCCTAGCTCCGCTGTGACCTGACTCTTCAGTCTCCTGAGGAGGGACACTTGGGCCTCTCCAGTATTTTGCTGTGATGAATGTTTTTGGACAAGTGATCTTGTGCACAATGCTTTCATTTCTCCTGGGTGAATACCCGGGAGTGCAGCGAGAGGGTCACAGTGTGAATGGTGGCAGTACTTTCCTCTCCGGCCAACGGTGTGGCAGAGTCCTGCTAGGACAGCCTCTCTGCCTTGCCCTGCTGGACAGTGAGTGGGGTAGCTCAGGGGAACTCACCCCTCTCCTCAGGGCTCACCTTACCTGGTTTGGTGGGGAGCGGGTGCAAGTTCAGAGACTGTGGCTTCTAGGATCGATGGCCACTGAGGGGTCACAAGAGCTTTCTTGAAGTGGCAGGTGGGGAGAATCTTGCTCCTCGACAGGGGAATCACACTTGCTGCCCACCTTGGAGAGGCTCCTGTGAGGCAGCTCAGATGTGTTCTGAGAGAGTAGCAGGAAGCACCAGAGAACCACGGGAGCAAACACCCCTGGTCCAGGAGAGCCGGCCCCCTGACCCTCATCTGCTGCGCGTGAGGAGACCACAGCTCCTCCTCATTCCCCTTCCCGGTGTGGGTTCTCTGGTCCCTCTCCACGCCCCTCCCCCACGCCACCCTTCATTCATGCAGCATCATTTCGTTGCTGGAGGACATCACTGTTTTATTTTGGTGGACCCAGAAACTGCCCAGAGATTCACTGGACCCCAGAGAGCGAAACAAAGAAGAGGAAAACGAGTGGGACTGGGCAAAGGGCAGGGAGGGGTGCTGGGGAGAAGGCAGGGCAGGGGACCTGCAGGCGGCGGCCATGCAGCCTGCTCCTGCCCCTGGGGTGCCGCTGGAGGCTGGGAGAAGCGGAGGCCAGGCTCCCCCACCTCTGGGTTCCTCATGTCCTCCAAGGCAGGTCGGAAGTGCACCTGTGAGGAATAGATGGCCCACGGTGGATGGTGTGATGGAACAGGAAGTTATAACCCAAGACAGCCCTCGCAGGGGACCAGTGCTTTAAAAGCCTGTCACCTCCCATCCCTTGCCTCATTTCTAATTGAATCAAACTACCGTCCTTATTCCTTTAGAATCAGGACCATCATCCCTCCTTCCCCCAAAGCAGCAGTTCTAGTCTTTGAAGGCTGGGAAACGGGGGGAACGTAGGAGGAGGGGGAGGAGGGGTCCTGGTGGGACAGGCCTGGAGTGGGGTCCTACCCTGAATGGTCCCAGGGGACAGGCTTGGCTGTTGGGATTTGCCTACATCAGGCCAGAGAGGATTAAAAGGAGGGCAAGGAAGTAAAGGAAGACAAGAACAGCTCTTTGCGTGACGGCCATGGCAAGTGCCTGTCCAGCAGGGAGGGACTGTGGGAAAGTGCTGGCATCCTGGCCCTTTCAGTCCTGGTGAAAGCAGCCACTGGCAGCGGTGCCCCAGGAGCCCCGGAAGGGCTACAGGCTGGCACACGATGCTCTCCACCCTGCCACATCGGGGGGTTCCCAGGCCCCGGCAGACAACCTTGGGCCCAGTCCCACTTCCTCCCTGAGAAAGTCTTGGGCCCAGGGAGGGTGGCCTCTCTCTGGGAGGAGAGTGCCGTCCCCTGCAGACGGCTTCAGATTGGGGTCACTTGCTCACTGCCCCCACGGAGGCAGAAGGAGAGAGGACTGTCCTCTGTCACCACAGACCAGAATCGCAGAATCTGATATTTGGAAGAAACTTTGGGATCAAGACATTCCTCCAACACAGAAGGGGAACAGAGGACCAGGGGAGTTGAGTTACTTGGCCCCGACTCCCAGCTGTTTGGATCAGCTGGTCTGAGAACCTGGTCTCTGGATTCAGCTTGGGCAGGGCCCCTCACACCACCCAGAGGTAGAAACCAGAAAGCTCTGAGTCAAGAATAAGTGCTGTCTTGGGCTGGACCTATGAGGGAAGTGCTGCTTGGGTCAGTTCTGGGTGCCGGTGACAGGGAGAAAGGAAGGGACTGTGGTTCCCAACAGGAGGAAATGGGAAGCGTCTCAGGGATGGACATGCCAATCACATGCCAACCATGCACCGGGAGGGGCCACGGTGCAGCACCGGGAGGAGGGAGCCCCTCCCCACACGGGCTCTTCATGGCTTTGCCCCTTCTTGAAGTGTGGATGTCCCTGCTTGGACTCAGCATGCCCAGGTGCTAAGGACTCTGAGCCTCTGAAGGCCGACTTCCTGCCCAGGGTGGGAGCCTCTGTGACCGGTGGCCCTTCTCGAAGCTTCCAGAGGGGAAGTCCTGTCACCTGGGTCAGCTTGGAGTGGGGTTTAAAGGCCCCCCGGGAACACTTTCACGGAAACTGTGAACTCTTTGTGTGAGCAGAGCCTGGCCTGCTTCCTCCAGCTCCTCAGGAGATGCCCATGGTGGTGAGCCGCAAGAAGGACCGGGCCTGGGCACAACTAGCCCAGACCTCGCTGGCCTTCACGCTTCATCAGGGCGCTGTGAAGGAGAGTCACTTCCCTTCTCTGAACGCTGGTTTCCTCATCTGTGACGCCCCTCGCCCACCTCGCGGGTTGCTGTGAGCAAGAGTGATGATCTTACTCAGGCCTGGAGAGGCCTGCTGACCTGCAGTCCCCTGCCCAGCCGGCACATCCTGGGCCTCAGTTGTCCCCACCGATGCTCTGCAGCTCTTCTCCAGCCTTGGGGCAGAGGCACCATGGGCAGCAGGACCAAACTCTGCCCAGGAGCGAGTAGGGGCGCACAGAAAGCTCCAGACTCTCAGGCCCGGGCTGCGGGAGCATGCGTCTGGCCCGTGGGGAGGAGGCTCTGGGCCCACCCCGCCCCCCGGCCTCCTTCCCCACCTGGGGGCACCATCAGTAGGGAGACCTCCACGCCTGGAGCTGTCATCTCTGTGGACAGTAGAAAGAGGTGTCGGGCTGGCGGCGTGAGTCTCATGCCCACTGTGTTCAAGGAGCCATGGGACGGATTTAAACACCGGGCGCGGTGCGGGCTCTTGAAAGAAGAGGGTGGAGCCGGAGACTGGGAGGGCAGGCGGACGATGGCAAAGGGGAGTCGGGTGGCCCATGAGCAGAGGCCATGTGTCTTTTGCAGGAGAACTGAGCCAAGCCGACACTCTCGCCATAAAATGCAGTGGAAACCACTTCCAAGTGACAGAGGCCGTGTTCACCCCGGCTGAAAATGCGGCTCCCCAGGGTCCCCCATAGCTCCGGTCACTGTGAGTGCGGGGGGCGGGGTAGAACACAATCTTAGGCACACGCTGGTGGCAGACCTTACCAGAGCAGCATGGGGTGCTGTCACTGTGGCCACAGTGGCCACATACTCTCATTTCTATTTCTGTACTCGGTGTTCGTTTTATGTTTCTGTCTTTTCCCGTGTGTTTGGAGTGTTTCCTATGGAAAGGTCAGCCTCGGGCCTGACAGGCCTCCTTCCACCGCCTCGTCGTCCGCCCATTTCCAGGTGGGGAACTGAGGCTGCCTGGGTCCTACTGGGGATCAATACTCTAGAGAGTCTGGAGCTTGGCCTGAGCCGGGGCCCAGCTGCACAGGCTTTCTCACCCCTCCCACCAGCCCTGGGCTTCATTTTATCTTCTGGATTGGAGTCAGGTCTCTGTTTTGAAGACTGACCTAGGACGCGGGTGCATCTATAGGACGCCATCCCTCTCTAGCTATAATCCTCCAGACTATCACAAATCTCCGGGGTCACCTTCTACTTGTTTTACAGCCCTGCTGTGAACGGGATTCAGGTTTTAACTCCCTTCTCTACAGACAGTACAAAGTTTGCTCTTGTGTGCCGGTCACGCTGATGACCCCCCACATTCCTTGCCCTGTGCCTCTCACATGCCGTGCTGGGTCTCCCCAGGAACCACCCGAGGAGGGAAGGTGAGCTCCCATGAGCCCGTGGTGGGCTCCCTCACCGCAGGGGGCAACTGCTCTTGGGTTCCTGCAGACCTTTTCCAGAGGAAAGCTTTCCTTAGTCAGGACTCCTTTGTGGGACATGGTGGTATTTGTTACACATGTGGCCCCTGCCGTGTTAGTGACGCTATTAGCAATTCAAGCATGTCCTTGAATTGCTTTGCAACGGGGCATTTTAATCCTTTTGGTTGTTGAGCTCTGCAATGGCAAAACAGCACAGCAAGCAGGAGGTCGTCCTCCCCTCCCCTCCGGGAGACAAAGATCCACCACATAATGTGAGATCAGGGCAAAGCCGGTCACAGTTCAGGAATGTTTTGCAGTTGGGTTCTCTCTAAACTGAAAACATTCTTTTAATATGGAGAATTCCTAAGAGGGCCATAAAAATCCTGCTCTTATGACACAGTACCCCTTCTGAATGAAGCCTACTGAAAGGGTGATTAGAAATTTACCTTTTTGTCAATAAAGTTCTTTATGGGACATTTTTCTGGCTGCATTTGGATATAACGTCCACGGCCCCAGATGCATGAGGCGGGAACAGAAAGACCATTTAAAGCTGTGCTTCTAGAATGCCCCGATTATGCATCTCCCAGAATCCAGGGACACGTGGGCCTTGCTGCATGTGGACATAGTTTTAGCTGTAGGTTGCTTTCACCAACCCACGGAGACTTAGACCTGCGGCCACGAGGAAACGCTAACAGAGCCATCTTGCTCAGCAGGCGTGTGTCTGGTAGCAAAGTCACGCGTCAGTCGGTTCAGCTGATCCAAATTCCTTGCATTTTGAGCCTTCACTAGAAAGTTCCCTTTTTGTATTAACATAACTGACTAATTTTTTTTTTTTAAGCTTCACATATAGAGATGACAATGACAGTGACTACTTGGAATGGCTACCTCCAGCAGGGAGACGTCTAAGCCTTTTTGTTTTCCTGATAATGCTTGAAGCAAAGAACACGGGTTTAACCATGGCTTTTCACTGGCTGATGTCAGCCATATTGTTCTCAGGGACATTCTGCAGAGTGGGGACAATCTGGCTGTCTTCCTGACGAGGGGAGGTGAAGGCTTCCTAGAGTCCTGAAGTCTGAATCAGATTCAGTTCCCTGAAGAGTCCTCTTACCTAATGGAGAATCACGGGAGTGGCCACCTTGAAAGCAGGACCCGTGGAGCCCCCGGCTTGAGGACCCCCGACTTTCAGCTCATCTGGGCCTTCTGAAGGGCTGGGAATTAATGTCTGGGCAAAGCCTTGGTTTGGGACAGTGGCTCACCACTGCGCAGGACACTTCTGTCACCTGGAAGACCAGCAGGCCTCAGCCTGGAGTTGGATTTGGTAATAATGAGCAGCACCCCAAGAACTAGCCTGTCTCTAAACTCCCAGGTGATGCTGCTGTGCCAGGGACCCTACTTTGGGAACCACTGATCTAGAGTATGCTGGGGTTAATGCTGGTGGCCAAGGGCTTAGGACCCTCGGGTCAGTTCTGCTGAGCGTCTTCGAGGATGTGGATTTAAATGGATGCTTGAGCCCCTTTCTGCTCGAGGCCCCTACAAGGAGTGTACATGGGACTGGGACCTGTTTGGAAGGGACCACACCCTGACTGCAGCCTCACTGAGGTCTGGAAGGTGAGGCTGCACGGTTCCCAAGAGCAGCCAGCCAGACACGTGGAGGCAGACGGAGTCTGCGACACTGGTGCTGTGCCCACGGGGGACATTCATCTCTCTGTCTGGGAGGCTCCCGTTTCTGGGAGCTCCAGGGATATTTAAAATACTTCCCTCCGACTTGGTTTAAACAGAATGGTGTGAATGGCGATCCCCATAGCACAGCCCTTTTGTATTTTACAGTCCTGGGTCTTCGGTGGATCTAACACTGGGTTGATGATTCTTCCTCCTTTGAGACGGAGACCCTCAGATAGTCCAGTGATCTCTAAGTCACGGGGGTGGGTGGCTTCTGCATATGAGAGAAAATACTCAGCCTTTGAGCTTCTGAGTTTGACTAATTTCACTGAGTGTGAGAGTCTCCATTTCCATCCACTTCCTGGCGAATGCCGTAAGTTCATTCTTCTTGGTGGCTGAGTAGGACGTCATTGCACACATTCACCACAGCTTCTTAATCGTCAAGAGTGGCCTTCTGAGGGAGGCCCAGAATGAGGCCGGGGAGGAGCAGAGTGCACACCTGGCCTAGGGGACTGCTAGTGCCAAGCTCTGGGGTGACAACTTGCAGGCCCCATTGGACCCCAACACACAGCGAGGCTGCCCCACCACCCGGAATTGGGACTGTGGAAGGAATCACTCAGAGCAATGGGACCTCGTGGCTCCTGCAACACGCGGTCCCCGCGGGCTTCACCTCAGTGCTGGGATGGGGAGCTTTGGGGGTTTGTGTTGAAAGGGTCACTGGATTCCAGGAGAGGCTACCCCACAGGGAGGTAGATAGGCAAGATGGCTAGTTGGTCTAGACGAGGTAGAGGGAGCCAGAACGAGGCTTGGCAGACAGGCTTTGTGAGGTTCTGGTCCAGATGTGGAATATCAGGGGTGGAGGGCTGTTGGGCTGAGGCCCGGAGCATGGTGTATGTGGGGGGAGCAGATCAGAGAGTGGAAGGAATTGGATTTGGTTCATTTATCTGGTTTTTGACGTGCTGGTGGAAAAGTCCAGTGGGCGGTGGGCAGATGGGGCCCCGAGTTAAATTCGAGAGTCAGGGGTGAGAGATGGCATGTGCAGCCGTGGGGCTGGGTGCCATTCCTAGGTCACAGCTGGAGGTGCAGCAGGAAGAGGCTGAGGCCCAAGCCCTGGGTCCTGCGAGGGTGGGAGGTCAGGCAGAGGAGAGGGAGCAGCCAAGGAGGCCGAGAGGAGACCACGAGTCTGAGCGTCAGCAGTCCTCCCCGGTGACCGCGCCTTCTTCAGTGAGTCCGCCTCCACCTCCCCGGTGCTCGCAGGCGAGCAGACAGCACGTTCTCCTCGCTTCTCCCAGTGGAAGCGCTGCCCTTTCTGGGTGGGTGCACCTGGATTTACCTTCTAACCCTGGAGTTACAGACCTGGGCTTCCTTGGTGCCTGGATGGGATCAGGACAGATCACAATGCCCTGAGATTACCATCTGGATTCTGTGTGTAATGTACGCTCATCTGGGTAGAGGGTGCATAGTTTCCAAAGGATTCTTAAGGCAAGGCAATATTTCTCAATAATTTCTAAATAAAAGAGAAACTAAAGTAATAAATTCTCAGACTTATCAAGCACAGGAAGAGAACGTATCCTTTCACCCAGATTTAAACTTACAGAAACTTGGCAAAGTAGAAATGAGCCAAGCATCCAAGTACCTTAAAAATATTCCCACTGGGGAAAGCAAAAGCCGACCCTTGAAACAGAAACGCGAGGAAACCAGTGAGCAGAGTGCACTTGCCCTGAGTATCTGTCTATGCCCTCAGCTGCGGGTAAGAGAACTGGCGAATTGTCCAGTCACTTACCCCAGGATCGAGGCCTAAAACTGGGTAAGAGCCCCAATAATAAAACCCCTCCTTGAGGAGGGCACGGGCTACCTTCTGCAGCTGCTGCATTCCTCCTTAATGTCAGCAGTAGCCCCCGAACCAGAGGGGAAGCCACTGTCACTTGGGGTTGCTCGGAAACAAAGCCCACCCTGTGCGTTGCATTCCCATCCAGTGAGTACACGCTCACACATTTAAGACTGCAAAAGAGACCAAGATGGTGGGAGATATTTTTAGAATCAGATTCAACACCAAGATGTATTTTCCTGTTGGAAAATGCTCTTGATAAGCCAAGCATGCTTGTGTCCCCCCACCCCCCACGGCAGGGCAGAGAGGATACTTACCGTTCCTTTTGTAGTAAACCGTCATGATTACAGATAATCCCAGTGGAGCGGGGAGCAGGGATTATTTCAGAGTTGCCCCTCCAGTACCCGGGACATCATGCTCAGGTTCCCTATGGAGCAAAGAAATGGTGGTTCCAGAGCACACAAGGAGACAGGAAGGAGAACTCGCTTCCGATGTGGCTTTTTAAAGGACGCGTGTTGGTTGAACTTGGGAAAGCCCTTCTTTCTGGGCCTTGGAAGAACATGGTGTTTTGTGAGCACGCAGCAGGCCCTGGGGACCCTGGAGAGGAGCTGGAGGAGCTGAGAATATTCACCCCCCCAGCTGCCCCAGTCCGACATGGACACCCCTGGTCCAGCTGTGAGTGCCCAGTCCTTCTGGGCCTGGATGATTAGGGCCCAGTCACACATTGACTGGGGTCAGTGGGAACTTGACCGAAGCCAGTTTCAGTTTGCTGAAGACAAAGGCTCCTGGGGATGGTGAAATGGAGCCGATGGGTGGCTCCTGTCTGAGGGGGATGCACACCTGCGACAGTGGGGTGATTCCTCAGGTGTGCTGCATCTCCGGGAGCTTCTTTGAGCCTCCCAGCTTTTGCTGAGAAGGAGCTGGTGATAAGCATTTCAAAATCGCTGGAAGAAGGGAGAGATGCAGTGGGTGTTGAGACAGACCTAGGATTGCTCTGTTTTTGCTTTTTAAGTTAGCACCATGAGACGTCCCACGGCCTGCACCAGACTTCTCCAGAACCTCATGCAAGTACACCCCAGGGAGGCTTAGGCTTTCTTTATTTAGGAAATCTTAGTTTTGACAATGTTTTCCAAACACGCCACCCTTTCACGGCTTTCCAGTTCTGTATTGCAGCCAGACGCATCTCAAGACTTAGCCGGCTGTTCTTGTGGCACTGGGGGAGGGGAGGTCACTCTCCTGAGGGTGCTTTCCAGGAGGGTGGTGACTGTGAAAGTCCTAGGTCCTTCTCACCTGGAACTGTGTTTCAGCCACAACCTATGCTGGTGAGAGGGGCAGAGACCACCCCCATGGAGGGTGGTCTTGTCAGTCAACGAGAGCCCACCCTCCCTGGGGTCCACATGGGTGGACACCGCAGGCTCCAGACACCAGGCCGGCATTCTGCTGAGCTCTTCAGGGACGTGAGCTTTTCATACAATGCTTGTAACGAACCCGCAGAGTAGACATCATTGAGCGTACTTTTGGATGAAGGATTTGAGTTTTAGAGAATTGACATAGCTTGCCCAAGCTGCCTTGTGACCAGTGGTAGGGAGACTTCGACCGCCCAGTGTGGGCTGTGGCCTTGCTGTGACCACTGTGCCTGCATCCATCATCGGGCCCTTGCAGTGACCTGGCTTGCCCCTGCCGCACAAGCTCCCGAGTGACAGACCCACTGGCCCGTGGGCTCTGCTCTCCAGGGTCCTACTTGTAGCGTCCTTTAACTGCTACTCCTGAGTGGCATCTTTGAGTCAGTATAACCGCATCAGAGCAGACAGACAAGCCCTGCCTGGCACGTCTGTGCTGTGCTCAGTGCTTCATCAGAGAGCTCGAAGGCAAGAGTCCTGTAGGCACGCAGCGGACGAGAGAGCCTCCACCTAGCCCAGGCCTGGAGGCCGGAGAGGGCCCATCCCTCTCTCTCTCTCTCTCTCTCTCTCTCTCTCTCTCTCTCTCTCTCTCTCCCCCCCCCCTCCCCCCTCCCTCTCCTCCTCCTTCTCCTCCTCCTCCTCCCTGCTGGGGACAAACCCAGGGCCTCATTCATGTTAGGCAAGTGTTCTACCGCTGAACTACACCACAGCCCCCGCCTTTTGAGTTTGAGGAATTATTTGGGAGAGTTGAAGCCAAGTCTGGAGTAAACTGACGCTAAGAGAAAGCAGACCTTTCCTGATTCTATATTAGTAAACCAGCGAAGATGTGTGTTCTGTCTTGTTTGGCTTTTCAGTCTCCAGGTGTTGCCTGTGCAGTTGTTTTGTTTTTTCTGCAAAATGATCCCCTTATTTCAAGGAGCTCACCACTTCCATGCTAGGAGCACCATAGGAGTTTTCAAAGGCATATTGCTCTATTGGGGTAAAAATGAGTTATCCTTCATGCTGTTTCTCTCTGAAATAAAAGCTCAGTGAGTGTGAGAAACGATGCTGGTACTTTATATGGAAAAACCTCTGATGCTCACAGCACCCTTGCAGGCAGGGGTAACCTTCACATCACAGCTGAGGACACATGAGGTCAGAGACGTTAAGTAATCTGCCCAAGACAGCACAGCCAATGAGTGACAGAGCTGGGGAATAAAGCCTAAAGTTTTAATACCAAGCCCAAGTTGGGGCTCTTGGCAGCCATGTCAGGCAGTATTGATGCGAAAGATGAGAGGGTGAGAAGCCAGGCCCACATCTGTGTTTATTAGCTGAACTTAGTAGGAGCTGTTCTGGCTCAGGCTTTCGAAGGTGCCAACAAACCATGGTCTTTCCAAATAATAATATTATGAACTTTGGTGTCCAGTGTGACCACAGACCAGGACCACAGCTAGCGGGTACAATAGGACGTCATAGTGTGCAGCAGACCTTCCTTGATTTTCCCATGTCTACTTCTAGGTATGTTGTTTCCAAACATTATATGTGAGAGCTCATTTGTTCTGCCTGATCATTATAATCTCCATTTATTCTAAAAAATGCTTACAGAAACTAGGTGGTGACATCTAAGTGCTAGAATCCACATGCTGAGACAGCAATCAGTGAAAATGAATAATGAACTAGTTCACAAAATCGGTGTTTGCCTTTGGAAACTTGCGCCTTCGACAATTACTAACAATAATATTGAGGCCAAAGCTCAGTGGATGGAGGAACACAGCTCATTTCTTCACTTTTATGCAGAAATTGCATTTTGCTACAGAAACAAGGCATTCAGGCTATGCATTTCTGGGCAAGTATAGCATTGCTTAGGTGTGCAAAGCCAGCGTCTGCCTAGGAAGTTTTCTGGGCTGCGTTTCAAACGCCGGGAGCTCCGGGTGGCAGGCTGAACAGCCGCGGTCCAGCGTGACTCTCAGTCTTCTCTTTGGGCACCGCCTTTCCCTTCTTTGTTGAATGGAAAGTGCACATCTTTAGCTTTGTCTCAATGAACTCCTGAAATGCTGCCCTCAGACCTGCCCGCGGCGTGATGAGAGCCGTTCCACCAGCAGGAGGAAGTGAAGGCAGAGCTGCCTGGGGGAGATCCGACGGGGGCCATCATGAAGATGCATGTGGGCTGTTTTCAGGAATGATGAAAAGCCCGCAACCAACTGCGGGCTGCCTTCTCAGCAGCAGGCCAGGTCCTGAGATGCGGTGCATGACACGGTGCACCAGGATCCGGCCTTGCTTTCCGTTTCAAACCCTGTTTGCAAAGTTACGCTTCACGCGTCACCCTGACCCCAGCCCCTCCCCAGCTTCCTCACCTGCACCCAGATGTAGACTGGAAAGGCCTCGAAGCCCAGATCACTAGCAGGCTAGAAGCATTAATTACGTCTATAGCTGAGGTTATAACGGGCTGCAAAAATCTCCTGCTGTAATTGGAATATAGATTCAACACTTTTATTGAATGTCAAAGCACATTATTCTGCACAGCTGCTAGAGAGGCACCCTGAACTGATGCTTCTCTTCCATGACAAACACCTATTAAGCAGTCAGCACAAACTCTTCCCTTACAGCCCCTGACATCACCCTCAGGGCAGGCGGACACTGCTCAGCAATTGCTGAATTGCGTATGAAAATTATAGTTTTATTGTCTACACAAGTGAAGGTTTAACTCCAACTCCTGCCTCCATCTGAGCTGTATAAAGAAGCAATTCTTCTCCTAGAACAAATAAGCACAGTACACTATTGTAATCTAAGAAACAGGCACTATTTATGTATCGGAAAGCCTTGCTCTCAATAGGGCGAACAGTCCAGTGGCCCATGAGCCACTATTCTAGCAGCTGTAGAAAGAAAGCGTAGAAGTCACTAGTAATGAGATGCTAAAAGCGGCAGAGACAGATGACCGCGGCCCCAGGGAAGCCTGGCTCTCAGGCAAGCTGCTCCCACCGTCAGTTCAGCAAGCACGACTCGTAGGTGGGGACCATGTACTTGATGTTGATGAAGGCGTCTTCCCCTCCGTAGCGCTCGAAGGCTTCCAGCGTCTCCTGGATCAGGTCCCCGATGTTCTCTCTCTTCTGCTGGCTGTAGTCGATGCCATCCCCAGAGTTAACTGGTCATGTAAACACACAAAGAGGCTGGTTATTCCCGTGTGGCTCCCCAAAGTCCTACACACCAGTCTAGACCCTTCCTCTGAATGGTGACTAGGAGAACCAAAGAGTTAACATTTCTACGTGACCATGCTGAGATTTAGAAATAGTGACAACTAATCAAAAGTACCCAAACCTCACATGGAGCTGATGGAAAATGATTTAACATTAAAAAACAATGGAGTAAATGAAAGTGAGTTAATCACAGGTTCAAGACCTGCCGCAAGCCTGGGAGGGGCTCTTTCTCTGACTGTGGCACCGACTCTTCTCCTGGGCCTGGAGTTCCAAGTCTCACAGCATGGTGCATTTAGAAGGCCCAGGTATTGGTCCCTGGGATTAAAAGGGGTGTACTTTGGAAGGAGAGGCCTAGCCCACCCTGTGCTTTGCAGCTTTTGCCCACAGTGAGAGCTTTCCCTCCTGTGAGTACAGGTTCGGCGTTGGGTTATCTGCCATCATTCCCACCACTCGGGACGGAGGGACGGGAGGGAAGGGCTCTCCAAGCCAGTGGCTACTCCTGAATGACCACTGACCCTGTGAATGACAGCTCTGGGTTATGGCTTCAAGGGGGTTTTGGCGGCTGCTGCTGGTTTTGGAACCTCTGAGTCCAAGGGGGCAGGCCACCCACAGTGGGTGCCCGCAGGCCTGAACCCAGCCCAGCCATGCAGCGCCCAGATGTGACCACTGCGGCTGCCTTCTCGAGGCTCTAGGAGAGGAAGTGCTGGGGCAGCGTGGAAGGCCCCGTAACCTGCATCTGAGACCCTGGAGCTACTCTGCAAACTCGGGCCATTTGGAAGAGAGATGCCTGACAGCACCCAGCCTGTGAGGTGTCCGGAGGAATTGCCGAGACTGTGGGAGTCCAACAGAACGACCCCTTCGCTCCCATCCACACCATCAAACCCCCACGTTTTCCTCTCTACACTTGCACACCTTCTGTGGCATTCGGCTCAGAGAGGCCAGTGGTCAGTGTGCCCCTGCAAAGGTGCACGGGTTGCCCCCTCCTCTGCGAGGGCCAGGAGCCAGGCAAGGATGCCACTGCAGGGGACTGCCACGCAACCCGAGCAAGTGCGCGTCACCAGGAGGACTCGGCCCAT